TGTTTATCTTATCTGTAAAATCTACAGCTGTTAAAGTTACTATCACCTGATATGGGATTGTAGATTAATATCCTATTGGAAATATAGCCAAGTAAAAAAGCTGGTGAGAATATTTAATTTTGAATTTACTTTTGCACAATAGCATCTTTTGTAGCCATTTAAAACTGTTCACAAGAATGGTTGAATTTATAAAATTTGATTATTGTTAATTGCTTTTAAACAATGATGACGATGTTGTTGTCCAAATTGAACTGCTGTGAGTTGAATTGCAAATCTAGATATTTTGTTTCATATTTTTTCTGGGAGTTACTCTACTTGCCATCCATGATCCATGACTTGCTTGGTATGCTTTTTTTAAAGATAAGATAGGACAAGATAGGTTTAAAAGATACAAGTTACAAACAAAAGGAAAGTTGAATAATGATTGGATTAAAATGGACATCAATATGGTTATTATCAGGTACAGTACAGGCATAATTTTGATTCCTACATTATTTTTGTTAAAAATCCTCTCCAAAATACAAAATCATTTCAGTTAAGAGATTTTTTTAGAAATCTAGTGGGCTTGATATTTGATGGGTTTAGGAGAGTGCCATGCCATGCAGTGTTTACTAAGGGACATTTTTGGTTTAAAAGGGATTGTAAAGAGTTTTCTAAATTTTTTATATATATCTGGGACACTGATAGCATATATTTGCACCATTACAATTTTCATTCAGATGTCCGAGGTTGTTGCAATTTCACTGAAACTAATCGTTTTATGATGAAGTTATTATTAACAGCTTTTGCAATAGTGACTTCATTAGATGCTTTTAAAGTTTAAGTGAAATTGCAGGAACTACAGATGTCTTGATTGAAAACTGTAGTGGTGGAAAGGGTACCTAACACAAAAAGTAAGAAAACTTGCTTTAAGGTATCTTGTTTTGTATTTTTGTTAACGTTATTTGTAGTGATATGTATAGTGGAGGGATTTCTTATAGAAGATATCCATACACCAGCCACTGACCTACACAAAGCCATTGATATCTTAAAACGAGTTCCTCTAGTAGATGGGTAAGAATTCACTTTATTCATTGAGCATTGAGGTCATTTGCTTGGTTATGACGTACAAAATGGTTGCCATTTTCTAATCTCAGTTTGAAAGTCTTCTGATCTTGATTAAATCATCTTTCCTTATTATTATTCCAGTCAACTGCTTATCCAGAAAGTCCAATTTCAAGAGGTTTGGCCTAGAACCAGCTGGTAGACAGGATCCTCGCAATCCTAAGCTGTTATTCTTGTAACAATGTTTTTTTTATCTCCAGTCATAATGACCTAGCATGGCATATAGAGATGTCTTACAATGGTGATTTACAGCAGTTTGATCTGACCAAAGATATGAGGAAGTATTTTCCCTATAATCCCAAGCATCCTAGCCAGACTGATATACCTCGAATTAAACGAGGTCATCTGGGGGCTCAGGTAGGACCAAGCACAATCTAATTAAAAATGCATTAAAATTTCTTCCTTTTTGTTTTCTGATATTTGTCTTCTCCATTGTAATCTAACAAGTCTTCTACCTCAATCCCTTTCTATTAACATAATTTTTTACCAATCAAAGTGTTTCATGTACATTCCCTTTCTTGATAACATGAATTGTTAGCTAGCGAAACCCAAAGAGGCTACATTATACCTTATTTCTATACTTTGGGTTTCACTATTCCACAATTTGTCTTTTCTATAAGCAAACTATTTTAAAAAAAAAAAAAATTTAACCAAAGAAACTTTTAAAATAATGATAACTCCTCTTTGAATATTATTAAAAACAAAACAAGTAATTGAATAGTAAATTAAAAACACTATAAGTTATTATTATAGCTATGGTCAGCCTATTCTCCGTGTTATAATCAATATAAAGATGGTGTAGAGAAAGGTCTAGATCTGGTAGATTTAATTAAAAGATTTGTTAAAAAATATGATCAATATTTTCAATGGACAACAACTGCTGATGGTAAGTAAAGAAGATTTTTATAGGTGATAAGGGTTGAAGCTGACACCTGATCTATTCGTAGAAGCACTGGCAGTGGAATCAGAACTTTTCTTACTTTTATGAATGCAAGGAAGCAAATGAATTGTCTAGATCTGATCAAAAGTATTAAATATCAAGACCCTTAAAGCAGCTCCTTGAGCTCCTTTTCACTAAAAATCTTATGATAAGAATTCAAATTTTACAATGAAAACTACCATATTTACAACAAAATTGAATTTAAATGTTTGAGGATTTGGAAACTGTGGGTCCAATGACTGAATGACTCTAGATAAACTTGAAAAAAAAAACTCTATTGGTCTTGATTAGCATGTGTGATAGTGACATCATAATCTGGTCATGAATTTTTTGTTGCACTTTGCATGGGAAGTAGGAATGGTGCACATAGAAATTAATAAGGGTCCCTGGTGCATGTACAAAATCTAGAAAAAGATTGAACCTCTTTAAAAATGAGATATAAATGTACAAAATCAGGATAACCTATTTCAAACCTCTTAAAAGATGAGATTAGTTTTATGAGGGCTGAATTTTATATTAACAATCTGTATATATTATAGGTATCATGAATGCCTATAAAAATGGTAAGGTTGCCTCACTTATTGGTATGGAAGGTGGTCATATGATAGGAAATAGCTTGGCAGTGTTAAGAATGTTCTATGAACTGGGTGTTCGTTATTTAACACTAACACATAGCTGTAACACTGCCTGGTAAGTAGTACAGATTTCAAATGAGAATTCTTGGATTGCAAGCTGAGTGGACTCATCCATTTGCAGGATTGCATAAGGTGTTCATTGCATAAGGGCCAGCCTAAGATTCAAAATTGGAGTTGAGAAGGAGATATTAAAAAGGGATTGTGCAAAATTCGGGGTCAATTCCCGCTATAGGCAAAGAATATTTTGAAATTCTGACCTGGAAATGATACATTCTGAAGTATATCTGAATAAATATCAATGGTTGTTTCTGTTATGAATCAAAGCCTTCAGAAAACTGCCTAGTTTTGCAATGTGCATGTTTGCCATTTTAAATTTTGATACATTTCGTTAGGGGGCTGAGGGTGTCCATTGAAGATGCCCATGGAAGCAAAAGATTATTTCAGAAAAATGTTTTTACTTGCTAAAAAGAAATATGTTACATATTAACATAAACTTAATGATTTTGACACATTAAGACACATTAATATACCTAATTTATACAATGTGTTCTTTTATAAGGGCAGATAATTATAAAGCTACCAGATATAATAAACCAGTGTTTCATGGTCTGTCATCATTTGGTGAGGTGAGTTTTGCAGTTTTCATGTGTGTTAGTGATTCTATGTCTACATGGCATTGATCATTCCCAGATTATCTGTACCCATTTACACCTTGATCATGTTTTTTTATGCTGGCTGTGCATTAAAATAAAATCAGATTATCAGATTTATCTAGGATGGCTGCTTTATTTGGCTTCCTTAGCACTCTTTTTAATGAAAATAATACTTATAGTAATTCGTAAAAGAGATTTGGACAAAGAAAGGATCCTTGTGGACCTAAGTTGTTATCCTTGTAAAATATGGTTGTTTATTCTTTCTTTCTTTACTACTTCCAATACTATGACATCATTCATATATCAGTACTATCAGTATTATATTCATAGAATATAAGGAAAACTGAAGTCAAATTTTAATCTTGTAGAGTGATACAGGTAGCTGAGATTAAGTTCTACCAGATATGAATGATTATATCACGTCATCTCTTTAATTTGTATTTCAGAGAGTGGTTAAAGAAATGAATAGATTAGGAATGTTAATAGATTTATCACATGTTGCCTTGGATACTATGAACGATGCTTTAGATATTTCTATAGCTCCAGTTATATTTAGTCATACATCATCATATGCTCTCTGTCCTCACAGACGTAATGCTCCAGATGATGTTCTCAGACGTTTGGTAATCATATCAGTCTCTATCAATTTGAATCTATGGCTTTGAACGGGTGCCTTGGATTGGTGGTTCAACAAGTCAGATAATTGCTTGGTAACCTAGGTATCCAAGGTTCAATCCGGGTCTACTTTAAATTTTGCTATCCCACAATTCATAGGAACACAGATTATGCAAGCTGTGATTGATGTATGCAGCCTTGGTATGAATCTTGTTAAATTACAATGGAGAACTTAAAAAATCAGAAAAATAAGGAACGAAATTGTAAATGTAATGTAATGAAATAGGGTGTAACAGTGCCCTTAGTTTCTCCATGTCAACAAAAGTGATAGCTTGCAAGAAGCAACTAGTTTTCAGATGAAACTACTTGATTGAACTGCATTTTGAATAATTTGATTTTTTGAAATTTTCAGCCAAAAAATGGGGGAATTATTATGGTTAATATCTATCCTAATTTTATTAACTGTACAGTAGATACAGTTTATGGTGATGATAATCGTACAGCTTCAGTTTCTCAAGTAGCTGGTAGGCCATTTTATATTACTTCTCTTCTTATTTTCCTGACATCTGCTGTCTTATTTCATAATTTTGAACGGACAATTCTAAGTTCGTATTTGTGAAAGCGAAAATGGTTTGGTGTACTGTGTGGGATTACCAATACAGTATTTTCTACTGTATCAATAATTCTGTATGTGAACCATTCTGTGCCTTTTGTTAGAGACTAAATGAGTAACTCAATATATTATTATATATTTTTAGACCATATGGATCATATCAAATCAATCACTGGACCAGATCATATTGGTATTGGAGCAGATTTTGATGGCTCAGAGTATGTTAATATTTTTTTTCATTTTGATATGTTATTTAAACACAACTTCTCATGAATATCTCTAAAGGTATGAGACATTTCTGATGCCACAGGTAAGCTTGTGCTGAGGGGCAGGCAGTTAAAAGGTCATGGGTAGCATGTATATTAAAGCTCATCTTTTGAGGGTTTTACAGTATTCCCACTCAAAATGAATAAATACATCGTCCCCTCATATTCTCTTCTGTACTTACTAGGTTATCTCCTAAGGTAACAGATGAAATGGATTTTCATGTCACATGGTTTTCAAACAAGCCAATGATCTCACATCAAAATATTCAGGTGGTGAATCAAATCAATCATATGTTAGGGGTTGTCTGTATATATTCACAGTTTCCTGTGTGTGTTCATTGTTTCGATTGAATGAAATTCAAACACTCATACAAAGCTATATGGATAAAGTTTACCAGGGTCTCATTTATCAATTATGTTTTCAATGACTATGGGCTGATTAGAACTCAACTATATTTCAGTTATTTTGGAGAGATGAAAGATGTTTCAACCTATCCATATTTATTTGCTGAATTAGTTCGTCGTGGCTGGTCTGATATAGATCTGGAAAAACTCGCCTACAGAAATTTCTACAGGGTTTTCAAACAAGTTGAAATGGTATTTTTATTTAAATTACAGGACATTCCATACTTCTTACATTCTCAGATAATCCCCAAAAACTATTCCTCTGTTCAAATTTTAATAAAACTATTATTTAATATGAGACATTGTATGTTGACAAGCCCAGTTGTAGACTACTGTAGTATTAAGTGTCCCTCAATATTTGGAAATAAAAATGACAAGGTTAATCCTGCTGTTCTGACAAAATTGCTTCATTGAACACATTATAACAATGCCTGCCTTCATTAGCCCAAACTTGTGCAGAAAAGTAGTCAGACATATATCTGACATTATATATACATTTAATTCATTGCACACTGCATGGTTTTTCCCATACTCATAAGCCCAATATGGTGTCCAAAAGTAGGATGTAAAAGTCTATTTCAATTCATGCTGTGCTATATATTATGTTAAATTTACTTGTAGGTAAGAGATAGTTTAAGTGGTAATGAACCAGATGATACCCTGATAGATATTAAAGATATACCTGATAAAAGTTGTATTACTACTACCTGGACATAGATATTATCTTCTTTAATTAAAGGACATGTTTGACCTCTGTATTTTTTTGGTTTTTTTGTCTAATCAATAAGTTCCCAAATTTGATAAAGAAGTATATCATTTCTGAAACCATTTATATTACATGTTTCACTTTAGTCAATAAATCTTTATTTGGAATGAGGTAATAAATAGTAGTTGAATCTACTACCTGAACATAATTACAATGTACTATCTTCCTTAATTTAAAGGTCATGTTTGACCTCTCCAGATTAGTTTAACGTTGATAATCTTCTCTTTAACGCATGTGAACATGAGAATGATATGTTTTGTCAAGCTTCATCCACCTTTATATTCAATGATTTATCAAAATTATTCAAATTGAGTTTTGGGCTTCAATGATAACTGTTCAATATGTATTGTCTTTTGTCAATAAAACTAGATTATACTTTGAAGAATTAGTTATATTTATCTTCCTTTGGCCACACCATTCTATTTTCTATTTTCTTTATTTTCTTAAAAATCAGAGTAAGAAATCTAAAAAATCAGCTCAGCTGGAAATAAAAAAAATCATCATGTAAACACATTTATTTCTTTATTTTTTTTAAAAAAGAAATTCTGCAAAACAAGAAAATAAATTGATCTGGCCTTACCGGTATATTATGAAACTTAGATCTAAAAGGTATATTTTACCGAAATAGTAATGGTGTGAGAGAGAGGTAGAGGAGAATGGACCTCTAGTTCACTCCATTGGTGCAGATCAAGGAGGGGATACAATATGGTTGGTCTCCACCACCTTTTGTGGCTTACATGATTATCGAAATGCGTTGTAAAATAGGCGATAGCTTATTCATCGAAGTAACTCTCGACATGCAAATAACTGGCTTTTCGGTCAATCGAACTTTCAGAATTTTCTAGGGAGGCCCAATAGCACTGCTTTTTCCTGTGACTAATTCTTTAAGCAGCTGGTCCGAACTATCTATATCAATAAAGCTGAGGTCCCCAGACTGCAGTTGACATGGTTGAGCTTTCATTAGTTTCTGTGAAAATATAAATAATTCTGACAATCATTGATTCTAAGGAATATCATCTTCCTCAACATTATCCGAACAGAACGAAAAAGTTCACCGTTTTATAATATATATTTTTGGATACAACCTGACACAACACGAACAGTGCAGGAACTGACGCGTTCGTTACTTCGTGTCAACAAGAATACTCATCGAATACACCCAACCTTAGCAACATTTCTTTTGGAACTACTTTTTTGTATTTCCATATTTCTGGGAAATTTCTGTGATTCAGTTAAAACCACACCAATATGTTTCAATTTTAACACAATTGACATGACTATTACATTTAGATTGAAAGAAATCTTTTGAATAATTCCATCTGACATTGTGATAAACGGACTATTTCATTCGATGCATGATATTTGTTAATGTCGTGATGCGGTCAAACAACATGGCTGCCCAAAATGTATTTTGAAGTAAACAATGAATGATTGTTACAGAAATTTTGTTCGTAAAAAATGATATAACTCGATAAAACATTATCTGAAAGATGCCTGCAATTGGCAATTATGCCCGACCGAAAAAGGGGCCACTGTCTCTGGATGTTAAAACAGAAACAGGGCTTCTGATCGATACGTTGGAAATAGTTGAACCGACTAAAAAATGTTCATATGTTCCAAATCATATTTTAGAGACAAGTGAGTATGAATCATGTTGTAATTTATTCTATGTGAATTATCTATGGAAGTTTAGGTTAGCTCATTGTTCACTCAAGTGAATATTTGTCGAGTTTTGACTCAGCAGTCAAATATTGTAGTTTTTGTATTTGCTCAGTGACAGTCAGTGATTCTTGTTGTGAAGTAGATCAGATCTGCTTTGTCCCTATTATTAGTATTGATTAATATAACAGAGTAAACTTATTAACTCTGTTACTTCATTGCACCTAGTTAACTTAAAGATTTCCCTTATACCTTATACTCATAACCATTTTAATCTTTTAATTATAGAATTATTTGCTAAAGTTGGAAAAAATGAATTGGTTCATTCTCGTCCTGCTACTGTACAGTTTGAGGGATTTACAACAGAAAGCAAACATATCCAGAACTTATCTATTGTGAATGCCTCAACTGAAGTTGTATCATTACATATTATACCACCACAAACTAAACATTTCTCTATCAAATATGATAAAAATGTAAGTAGAAACGACTACCGGTATTTGATTTTTAGGAAAGGGTGTATTTTACCTTTGATTTTAAAATTGGAAGAGCTGTTATCTGGTTCCTGTGATAGGCTGGAAGGTTTTTGTCAGTTGATCTTTTTTATTTTTTACTGAAACGTAAATCTGTTCCCATTTACAGTTAGGTCTACTGGAATATTGCAGAAAGATGACTGAACAATCACCAGACTTTCAACCAAGATTAGTAACATACATCCACCATATTTTTGACATTACAAAGTAAATGATGTCATATCATTACTGCAGACAAAAAGTTGAAATTAGTTATCATTGTGTTTAAGAGACTAGAAATACAATATGTAGAGTTGTTTATTTTGTAGAAGAGAATGGGACCAGGGTTAACATTAGAGTGCAGTGTAGAGTTTATAGGTGATGAATATAGATATTATTATGATTGTATTAGAGTTCATTGTCAGGTATTATAATTTATATTATTCTCCTAACAAATTCAAAGTAATATATGATAAGGCTTTGCATTCTCTATATATAATAGTATAAGTTTCAAACTTGTTTTTTTGAAAAAAAATACATTTTTCATGATAATATTGAATTAATACAATTAGTGTCACTTTCTAGAAAGCAAATCTGATATTTTATTCATCTACAATTACAGAAAAACAAAAAAATGATTTTACAAAAGTCACATAAAATGATGTTTCTATAGTAGACAATACTGATTTTTCTGGCAACAAAAAAGCAAGTCTGCCCGAAGAAGGTTTTTCATTGATATAGGTTTAAGTCTTCTATTAGCTAATGAAGAAAATTTTTTGAGGGATATATTTGCTTCAAAACTACTCCTTAAAGTCAGTTATGGTTAGTTTTAAAATTAACTTTTCAGGGTGAAGAAAATTTACTAATTCCATTACATGCTTATCCTGTCTTGGATCTCAAACAGTTTCCTCAAAATTTTATATTTCCTGCAGTGCCAGTTGGAGAAAGGTAAGATAAATGATATTATACAACTGGGCCCTGTTTCTAAAAAAACGACTTAAGATTAAACTTACGATTGTCTTAAGTTTACGATTACGTGCGTTTCTCAAAGGCTATCGTGTCAGGAATAATCTTACGATAAAAATTGTTAAGATGTTAAACTAAGCATGCGCAATAGAGACTTAAAAGCAGATGACAAAATGTTTATTGAAGGCGAGGCGACAAGGAAATTGAATTGAATGAAAAATCAAGGTTACTGAAAATATATCTATGGTAAAATCGAAATCATCCTCATTATCAGCGAACAGTAAAGCTAAATTTTAGAATAAAGCTATAGAAAGTAGTCTGTATGCAGATTCGCCCCCTCGGACGTAAACCTGACTCCGCCACTGACTGTTGGACTATTTTGGCAAGACCATTTTCTAAGGGACGATTTTACGGACTCGGCGAAATTGTTCATTGCAATTCAGAGTGTTCAGAAATTTTGATTTCCACAGTCAATGAAACTTAATGATGGGAGCGAAAAAAATGGCGGCTTTCAACTGTGACGAAGGCAAAAAATCAAGAAGGTGGTCGATGCCACTTGACAATTTCTTGCTCAGTCAAAGACACTTAGGGATCAAATCTGATGTCAAATTTTCCTTTTTTCCCATTAAATACAGTTAGTTATTTTGAAAAAAGATCATTTGGCTTTACCACCTGATAGTTACGACAGCTTTGACCACCCCTAAGTTAACACCAGAATTAGTCGTAAACTTACGATAATTTTGATCTTACGATTTTTTGAGAAATGCCATTGATGGCCAGTGCCATCAACACTTACGACCTACGATTGATCGTAAGATTTTTTGAGAAACTTATTTTGACAGTCATATGGATTTAGTAAGAAAAGTTTAGCTTTTTCAACAATGTAAAGTTTAGAATCTGACACAGGAAGTGATAAGGTATTTCTAGTCATTGAAGCTTTACATTTTCAGGTATTAGGTGAATATTAGTGAAATGTATCCGTAACCTGAAATGTTTTGCTTCAAAAGTGCAGGATATCAGAATAACAAAAAGGAAAGTGGTAAGTTTTAGGTTATGAATTAAGATTAATATTTATTTAAACAGTAAAAACATTTCTTGTTATTTTATATTTCAGTATATGTAGAAAATTTCCAATCAAATGTAACGTTCCTGTAGATTTTGAATATCAGCTAGAACTTATCAAACAACACCCCTTTCTCTCTATTGAACCTTTATCAGGTAGGACATTAGTGGTAGAATTATGATAACGGAGTCATTAGCTGCATTGATTTGAGGACTTTATCAATTTATCTATATTGCTGCAGTGGCTCACTAAGCAAGCCCTGAAGGTCTGTGGTGTAATGCCAGCATTAGTTGAGATAAAATCTTCAGATTTTACCCGCATGATGCAGGTTGGAAACCAAACATGGTCGTTCAGTTGGTACATTAAATCAAGGCCCTGTATTCACAGGAAGTGCATGTCAAAGATACCTCGTCAATTAGAAATTGAAAAAAATTAGGTTAATATTGCTGTCATGTCAAAATTTCCCATATTGCACAATGCTTAGTGTTGCCCTTCTTCATTGGCTCAAAGAGGTGTAGATAATTAAGACCTAAAACACCCTTTAATTTCATTTCCATTTATATTTATCAGGTGCTCACAATCTTAATTGTTAATATGTTTATTTTAGGTACCGTTCCTGGTAATGGTCAAGTAGATATAAGTGTTACTTTTTCACCATGTGAATTTTTAACAGCTCAACTAACAGTACAGCTGATAACCTCCCAGTTTAACTCTAAACCAATTCTCTGTAATTTTACTGGATCTTCTGCACCTGGTTTACTGAAGTACGTAATTCTCCTTTTTTTGAGAATTTATTCAATCTATGCCCATCATCAGATATACAACTTTTACCCTTATAACATCTTTGTCTAAGATAAAAAATAATATTTTATCTGTTGTATTTAGATTTATGATAACAAATGGAAATAACTATTTAAACCAAACTTATATTGTATTCATAGCTACTTATCCTACCTCAAAATACAGTGGTTTGTTTATAGTTTAAATCACAGCTATTATATATCTTTAGCTCAACTCTTATGTTTTCAAATTCTTCAAAAAATACTCTCAATACTAATCAAGACATTTTTTTTCAGAGAGCGAAGTAAAACAAAATATTTAGCCTCTAAACAAAATAGTGAAGTATTAGATCCAAGATGTCTGTCACCATTAGATAGAGCCAGATCAAATAGACTGTCTTTGAAACAGAAATTTAAAACAACTCTCTCAATGGCACCTAAGGTAAGACTTGATAGCTAAGTATCATAGAAGTAAATACTATGTTTCCCATGCTGTTTCCATGGCAATAGAAATTTTCTTTTAAAGATAATATGTTGAATTAATTCAAAAAGAATATATTATATTGAAAAAGGAAATCATACAGAATGGTATTAAATTCCCAGCTGTTATTGACACACCACATGCTGTAGCTCAAGTTTTAAACCAACAACCTGGTAAGCTGAAGGCAAAAGATGTCAGAGAAAGTAAGTTTTTTAATTAATTGATTCATCATCACAAGAAAGAATGAAAGAGAGAAATAACCATTCTTTACAAGGATAACAACTTAGATTTCTCAAGGATTTCTACTAGCTGGTCCTTGGCCAAACCTTTTGGCAGTGATCTTTCCCAAATTATTCATGGGTTAGACTTGAATAATAAGGAAAAGATCACTTATTTAAGATTAACAGACATTTACATGTGACCAAGATTGGAATCTGCAAATGGATCATCAGCAAATTTGGTTAATATATTTGACATCATTCTATTTTTTCGTAGACTTAACCTCTCAAAAAGATTCTAAAAAAGCAACTAGTCGTCAAATGAAGGAAGCGTTATTTGAACAGGCAGTTAGAAAGAATGTGTATGAAGAAAGACAGAATCAACTAAGATGGCAAGTGAAATTAGGTGATGAACAAATCAAACAGTCAAAACGTGTACAAATATTGGAGGAGCGAGACCAGGCCTGGGATATTTATAAAGTAAGTGTATACTATATACATATTAATTTATGGCTATCATAGATCAAGCAATTTAGTTACAATTTCATTAATTTTTATGGTCTTAAAGTTTTCCACCACAGACAAATTTTTAAGACATTATTTTTCACCAATCAAAGCATGTCATGTGAAACCCTTTCTTGATAACATATGAAGTATGGGATAGCGAAACCCTATGAGGCTGTTATGTTGCTCTACTTTAGGTTTCATTATCCTACAATTCATTATGGAATGTTACGCAGGACTATGTCACTTTTGTTTTATGGACTAAATTCTGACCAGTGTAAAATCTGTTTTGATTATTACTAGTTAATTCATTTTTCTTTATATTTTTCAAGTTATTTGGATAAAGCAAATTTGTGTATGTACTATTAACATATATGTACTTTTAAAAAAATATCTGTGTTTTTATATTAGAATGTTGTTATTCCTTAAAGCTACATGAAAGAGATTGTAAAAAGTTTTCTAAAAATTATTGTTTGATGTTGTCAGTAAAATTTTTGAAAACCTCTTTACAATCCCTTTATGATTTGATTTTTTGATTTTTTTATAGTTTACTAGAAGACAAGATCCTGTAGAAGACAAGGAATATAACAGATTAAAAACAGAAATTGAATATCGTAGAACAATGAGACCATATAATCAGGTAATAATCAGTTATAACTTCCTTGATTAGCATTTAGTAATTGGAGAAAGAGTAACTGCACACAACTTTATTGATAACAATTACTTCATCAATTGCACCTTTCCAATTTCAAAGCATGAATTTTTACAATTTCAATTTTTGATCACCCACCTGTGGTTTCTGCAATTCCATTTTTTTCAGTCAATGATATCAAAATATACTTTTATGTTATTATCAAACACTTAGTTTTAGTGGAATTGCAGGAATCACAGACAACTGGTAAAAATTTGAATTGTTCAAATTGATGCTATAGTGTCCCAATGCAGAAAACCTCTTTATAATCCCATTCAGATTAGCCCTTTCAATGAAATGAAATGTTGGATTTCTATTACAGCTAGCATTTGAAGATGCTAAATTTGATTTGTATACCAATGATTTGTGGGCAGTACGTCATGCAGCATTAGATAAATTTATTCAGGCAGCTAGAAAAATCATCATCAGAAATCGGGGTGAAGCTAAACTAAAATCATTACGAAGGGTTGTCATTGACTGGAGTAAGAAGAAATACACCATGGACAAACTCACTAGTAAGTTTATCTTGAGATAAAGGCTATGTTTTTCAGACCACAATGTTTATAGAGTCAAAATATAAATTTTTAGAAAGTACTGAATGTCTTAGATTGTCTTTGTGTAAATGAAAATGTTATTTTTTTGTAAATAAGGTTTTATGGAAGAGAATTTCAATCAGAAATATGGGTCATTTTCACATCAAAAATTGTATGGCTTGGAAGACATTTTAACCAAGACATATTGCATGAAATTGAAATATTTAATATTTTTTATAATATGATAATTATAGCAAGCAAATGTTGTGCTTGTTATCTCTTGGATAAATAGGAAGTGTCGAGTTTCCCCAAAGGAAAGCTGTGTGCATGACCACTAACTTGATTCATGTGGTTACTAAATTCATCGGAAATCAATAATCCTGTTTCAAAATTGATTTCTATTGTTTTACTGAAATTTTACTTAGCTGTTAACTGACATATGAAAATTTGATCATTTACCAAACTTTATTGTGGCTTAAAATGAGCTAAATCTTCTAAAAAGTTTAACTTATGGGCCCATATTAGCAATCTCAAGCTGTTACTTCACACTTAAACCTTGACTGCAATATAGTCACCTTTCTTGTATCATCATAGAAGTTTGTAAATGAAGCAATTTGATTTGATTTTACATAAGCATATAAAGCCAATCAGAGACCTTGACACGAAGTACTTAAACACAAAACCATAATGTTTACAGCCTTTCTTATTCGTTGTATTCTCTAGCCGGAATCAAATTAAATAGCTGCATTCTGTGGTACAAGAATAGTGTCATGGTATAAATGCATAGTTCACAATAGTTTGACATTGTCAAGATTAGGCAAATCCATGAAAATTGGTACCCACAAAATGAATTCACAATATATAGTTTAGTTATGATAAGCTGAATTATTTATTATTAAGATATATTGTAGGTGAACAACAAGAGAAGATTGAAGAAGATGAAGAAAAAGAAGAATTACCAACACATTTTGATATATCAGCTAATAAAATACAACATTATACATTCCCTACTTATATACCACCTGATGTTAAAGATGATATGGTCAGTTAATATACTTTTCATTTCTTGTGGACACACTGTCCATTTTTGGAATAGTTCATCTCATTGAATTTCATAATTTTTCACTCCTGTCCATAAAGCCTCTTGAAATTTTTATAGAATGCACATTTTGTCTTTTGACTTTTATATAATCCAGTATAATGAACTGAAGTTGTAAATAGATACTAGTGTAAAACTGTTAATTTAAATACAGTCATTCTTGAATAAATATCATTTGTTCTTCTTTCTAGGCACCTGATGCCATTGGAGTGGTACCTTTCATGCCAACAGAAGTTGTAGTGAAGAAAAAAGTTCAATATTTCAGTCTCAAGGTTTGTTTTAAATCTTATGGATTTTTATAACCCAAGTATAGCCTTACCTGTTCCTTGAATGTAATATAGGATTTGATAATGATGGCCACATTTAGAGCCAGACATAAAATAATATTTTACATTCGAAAGAAAATTGTCGTACATAACTTTTTACGATGACTTTTTGGCCCAATAACAAAATACATTGATGAGTATACAAGCTATTCATGTTATATATATTGTATATTATAGGTTCCCCAGCATTATCATCTAAATGGTTATAATATACATAATGTACAGAATGCTTCTACAGGATATATACCTGTCAAACTTATTAGACCATTACGAGAAGGGGCTGAGGTAATGTAGTGTTCTTTATGTGATTATGGATGAGGGCCCATGGGTACCGTAGTATACTAGTGCTGAATATATATATAAGATTTGGGCTTGTGATTTATGCCATGATATGATACATTCTATCACAATGAAACAGAAGACAAAAAGTAACTATTTACTTCAAAGTTTCATTAATTTTTTGACAATATTGTAAGGAAAAGATATACCTTATACATAGGGGAAAACAAATTTAATGACAATCCACCTTGTATGTATGTTTTACTAGTATGCCTAGTATCATAAAGTATAGATACCGAAGTATGTGATATGATACACATATTGTGTCATGTTGTATCAAGATGTAATGATTCACTGATATATCATGCCAGCACTAGTATATATATATATATATATATATATATATATATCCAATGTATAAAGGGCCCTTGATAATTACTGAATTAGATTTTTAATATATTACCTTGCTACATAACATTAATCTTTATAGTAACCAGTAACATACAAAGTTAGAAGAACTTGTATTTGATTTTATAATATTGTAGCAAATACAATAATTATGTATCTACCAATTTCATATTTTATCATACAAATATCCACTTTTAGTGCATCAATTTCATTTCATTTGAATTTCATTGCATCAGTTTCATTTCATTTGAATTTCATTGCATCAGTTTCATTTCATTTGAATTTCATTGCATCAATTTCATTTCATTTTAATTTCATTGCATGTTTCATTTCATTTGTAATTCATTGTATCTCATTTCATTTTAGTTGTAATTCATTGCATCAATCTCATTTGAATTTCATTGGATCTCATCTTATGTCATGTTTGCCTCTGATTGAATGTTTGAATGCTTGTTATTGTTTGTTGTTTATTTGTTTGTTTTTGTTTATTATTATTTAAAAAGGATGAGATTATCAATCTACCTATCAATGATCAGCAGGAGGTTGAAGAGCTAGACGAGGTGGAATCAGGAGAAGAAATCCCAGAGATTGAGGTGATAGAGGACCAGAAAACGGAAGCTGAATCAGACATCAAGTCATCTGCTGTGTTTCCTCCCAAAGCTTTATTCAATCCTGTTGAATACCCTCAATTGCATATATTTGTAAGTTGTTAGGGGGCCGGTGGTACTTTTCCACACTTGGCCATCTAAAGATTTGCTTTTAGTACCCATTTTCAGGTATTTGAATCTCTTTTCAGAATCAAATTGTCATGTCTGGTTCTGTTGCAATGAGATATAAAGGTACCAGTCTAGTCTGAGCAGCTGTTTAAGCAGCTGTTGCCACTTAAAGTCATATTACTGGTGGGGATTAGGGTATATGACGTTTATCTTATTCACACTCACTCATTCATCTTAATATCTAGGTTGAAGTCATTATGTGTATGCTCATTTCAGGGTACCGTACTACTTTTGTATGCAAATTAGACGACAAGTCATAATGTGTGAGCAGAGTACTTAAATAGGAAACTCTTGTTCCTAACACCTTTTATACCATCCAATATGTTACACTACACTGTTACTTGTAATAGAGACCACAAATGTTGCCAATGATAAAACTTATAATGCTGTTATTTTGGTATTACCAGTTTCAATTTTCTTTCTTTTGTTTTTAATAAGAATCCTGCTCCAGGTCTACAAGTTTTTCATGCACCATCTAAGTATTCTGAAGTATCTGCAGAATACCATCTGTGTCCTCTACCAAAATATGCTACTAAAGAACCTTCAAATAGTCATCATACCTCAACACAGAGAAAATATCTGGATAGAGAGGTTAGTTCTTGAAATTATAGTACCCATGTCCATCTGTCTGTCAACCATTTTTTACAAAGAACAACAAGGTGTTCTGAGAATCCTGTCTGCCAGTTTGTCCTCAGCCACTCCTCTTGGCATTAATCTTTCCCATATTATCCGTTCTCATATACAACTGTGTCAAATGGAATAATGAGTAAAATGACTTATCAAGGGCTACCAGACTTTCACACTCAGAACAAGATTACAACCCACAAAGTTTGAATAAACCATGGGAATTGATTTTGGTTTCTTTGTATTGAGCTTCTCATGACTGAAAATGAGAACCAGTTGGCTTCTTTACATGATAAGGAATACATGTACATGATTTTGTGAAAAGTAACAATATTGATAATTTTAAATAAATTTTTAGGATATTATAAGAGGAACACAGACATGGAAGAAATTCCCATCCCAAGGATTGATTACTCTGTCTAATACACCTACATTATCTAATGTTTGGGTTCCCAGATGGTTAGTAGTCTTGTATTATAGTATTACTGTTATTACTTGTTAACTTTACAGTGACTGAATGTACCAGACTTTGAATCCTTGTCTTAGCATAATTTGACTTCTACAGGGACTAAGGTAATAAATATTAATGTCAAATGATGTCACATGATTGTTATACGCCCACATCTCTCTATGTGGACGTATATTGTCTGCACCCCTGTCCGTCCGTCCATCCATCAACATTTGCTTGTAAACGCTCTAAAAACTAGATTTTTTGATGGAATCAAATGAAATTCGGTATGTGTATACATATTCATAATACATATTCAAGATCAAGTTCGAATTTGAGCTATTTTCGACCGTTAGAAGCAGAGTTATTGCTCTTGCCCCAAAAACTTGAATATTTACCATCCGCATGCCGTGGTAGGCTGTGGTCCACTATCTTTAAACCAACCAATTACAACACTTCTAAAACCAGTTGAATGTAAATGTAGGAAGTTATTGGGATAAAGTGAACCTAATCTATTTATCAATAAAGGTCATGGTTTAACGATGATGTATTTGATAATTATAGGGATGATAGTTTTGGTAATGAAATACTACCACAATGTGTACCAGTATTACTAGATAGTTTACCAGATGATGATAGTCAACAGATAGCTGCTGAGTAAGTATTGATCTCTATTTGAGCCCTGTAACCCTGATTATAAATAAAACATCACATACTCTGAACTCTGAACAAGTTACAGCTTATGATGTTAAAATTGTGCGACGTCACTTGGTAACGCTCGGTTTACCCACAGCTCAGATATATATTGTATAATTATGTGGCTGGTAAACTGGCGGCTGGGGTTAAAGGTATAATAATAAGATCCATGCACCAAAGTGATAAAAATCAAAATTCGTTCTAGCAAGACCATTCGGCTTATCAAAAATCTTTCAAATGATGTCAAAATTTGGGAGTAAAAATTGTATAGAAGTAGACTCTTTCAAAGAGAAGTACCATAAGGTGTTTCGAAAAGAGTAAGCATGGTCTGCTTCGCGTATGACATTCAGTGTCAAATGTACTTATACAAATACAAATGTAAACAATGGGCAACGAAAGGGTATGAAAAGTCAAAAAAAAGCCCAAAAATGTTACCAATTTTATTCTAAGATAAGACTTGAATTTACTATTATAGAGAGGAGAATGTAGAAGGTACAGCATTAAGATGTGGGGAAGTTTATTTAACACCAGAAATGGTTTTAGCTCAATTTGCTTCACCAGAATTAGCTGCATCTTCATCTCAGGAAGACATCAAAATTCCCACGTAAGTTTCTTTATTAAATCAGTGACATGTAATGCCTAAGCATATAAAAAAAATAATTATTTTGGTGAATAGGCTGCAGAATTATCTGAAAAGAGAATCTAACTTTTAGTTTTTTTTGTTATTTTTAGTTCTGGAATATCAGACTGTTGTCTCATTATTAAGTATTTATCCTATATTATATTGTTTTGACGCAGACAAGAACTAGTACTTACAGTCCAGGGCTCTGATGGGAAGTTATTTCCAATATTTGGATTAAGGGTGTATTTTCGTGTTAAAAATTATTTAGAAATGAAATGGATTCAATATTTGATATTTCAGTGATGTTTTTCCCATTGGTAATAAAATGCCTGCTACTAATTTACCAGTTGGTCCACTAGGTCCTGTTCCAAGGTAGGTTTTTACAATCAAAACAATGTTTTTCACTACAGTTATATTTATATGAATATAAGGTGCAAAAATTCATTGTTAGATTTTGCACCTTATCTACAGAAAGTCTGTGTTCATTGAACACCAAGTGTAAATTAAAAAAAATGTCATTTATAAAAGTGCCCAGTTGTTGGAATGGGACAATAAACCTTGGCCTGTGTGCTTAATAATCCTTCAATAGTTGGAAATTGAAAAAAAGGAGGCTAATGGCTCTGTACTGGCAAAACTACATTGCATGGTATTTCCCTCCTTCATTAGCCCATTTAGATTCATTTCAAGTAATTATACGGACAGTAGACCGACAGCTCAGACAATTACTTCCTTAATAGTAAATATTTTATTTTGTTGCAGGGAAAAGAGAGAACAAGAGTTAGAGTATTATATAACCAAGAAATATAACAAACTGGGCAGTAAAATTCAATCTAAAAATAGCAGCATGAATGCTATGATCACTGATCCTGAATTAATATTAAAATAATAAGTTGAAATCTGGACATTTTAGATACATCAGAGCTGTGCTTGTATATTCTAGAAACTAAACAGACTTTTACTTCTCTGTAGTACAGTCAAGTGGAAATTAAAACTTTTACACAGTTTTGTGTCTTGTCAAACGTTGGCTAGATTCTGTGCTTTCAAGAAGTACATGCTTTTTTAAATGCAATTTGAAGTTCATTATCTAACTGTAACATAACATTGTATTTGGTTGTCATCAGGGGTTGAAGGTTATCATTATGAGGATGAAAGTTATCCTCTGAGGTTGAAGGTTATCTTTTGAGGTTGATGGTTAAATTCTGCATAATCTTGGTTAGTGAGTGAAAGTTAGATGACCTTGAATTTTTCATCTTTCCTTCTTATTAAAGTCTACCCAGCTATATTTTGGTACAGATAAACCATATATATTATCGTTTATATATCTGGTTGCTGTGATATGATTCAAATTAAAAAGCATAATTTTTGAGCAATGTGTTTCTATCTGGTATTTAAACCTTGTACTCATAACAATGGAAATGCTGTCTTTATATGTGATCCACAGACCATTTACTGATTCAAATATCCAAAATAGTTCACCTTTTTTGTTAACAGTTAAAATATCCAAGCATCAAAAACTGGACAGTATGATATGATTGAATATTATCACTATTTAGCATAAGTTTAGACTATCAGCTGTATATTCATCCTGCTCATGTAGTATGTATTGATTCAGATTCAGTGTAAAACAAATTTGATGTATTTCTATTGTATATTTCAATGTCGTCTGTGATATGTTTTATTGTATATATAAATATTTATATGTATAAAAAAATCTTTCCTTTGTAGCTTTTGTTAACTATAGAGCATCTATCAAATGTCATTCTGTTTTACTGACAAACAGATATATACCATGTCAATAGATTTGCTGACAGTATGTCAACCCTTCTCGCTAGTTCCTCTGATGGGTTTAAATTGGGCAAAGGCAATTACGGTTAGCTAGGGTTAGGCCATTCTATATTTTCACACCCCTTTTGTATGCTTAAAATGATAGAAAAGAATGTTGACTTTGCAAAAAAACATGTAAAAATAAATGTTTGATGACGTCACTAATAACTAAATATACTGCAATATATATAAGTCCTTAGCGATATTATTTTTTGTAGAATTGCAGGAACCACAGACGTCTGAATTGAATGGTGCAAATTGATGCTATACGTGTCCCCGATACACATAATTTTTGTTTTGTAAACCTCTTTACAATCCCTTTAATAAGGAAATGTATTCAATGATAATAGTATCAAGATAATGTATCAATAGTAGCACTTATCTCTTTAACTAGGCCATAATTTACTGTATTTTATCAGAGATATGCATTGCTTTAGGGTTCCTTCAACACCATCTTCACAATACCAAGCTATTACAATCTTCAGCTTATATCTTGATTCCTTCAACACCCGCCTTTATTGTATGATTTAAAGTATAGCAATTTGATTGTTAGTCAGCAAATACAGCTAATCAGAGGCCTTGAGAGAAATACAGTAAACATTATGGCTTAGTTTATACAGACTTTTTGTCAGGACCTCTAATTTCATCAGCTTACAACCCAATCAATTCACTGTATTTACAAACTTCTGTGATGCAAAAAATGTGGCTATTGCAGTTAAGGTATCAGACAAACACTGTAAAAGCTTGGTTCATGAAAGTGATTCAACACATGCTAGCTTGGCTCTCATAAAGGCCTTTCTGCAGTTCAGGCAAACTTGTACAGGACAGAAAATTCACAAAGTTTCAAATGTATCGGCATTTTGACATTTAATCTTCTTTTAATACTATTACATCTTACAATTTCCTTTCAAAATAGTTGGAATTTAGTTAACAGAGGACATATAGTCATATTATATATACTCCAAAAGGATGGCCCCGACCTTAAGAATGAGGCCTTGACCCTTTAGATTGAAGCTGACCGTAAGAATGGGGCCTTATGAGTAAATGATACTAGACATATTTCCATAATAATACATCAGAATCGAATACATAATCATACCTCTAAGACCCTTTTTGCATACCAATGGTATGACACCATACTTCAAATAATAGAAAAAGTTTAGACATATTTATTCTAATAATGACAAAAGTCAAAGCACAATTTATCCATCTTTTGGTAAGGACATAACAACATATTTTTGTCCAGAAGGCCCCTGAACTGTAGCAGCAGAAGATGATGGTGCAGGAGGAGGTTGGTTGGAATTGCTGACTAATTTAACTATAGTAGGAGTGGAACTGGAAGTTGATGATGACGATGTAGGTAAAGATAAGGATGTAGGTTGAGTTCCAGTAGATGATCGACCTTGAGAAGACATAATGACATATTTTTGTTGGTGAGGAATATTGGGTGTTGTGGGAGTACGAGGAACAACAGAAGCTGAAGGAAATCTTGGTGTTGTTGGTGTACCTGGTTGTGATGAATTTCCAGATTGTATAACAATTCTTTGAGCCTGAAATGGATTGAATACAATAAAGGTTTACACATACATCTTAATCTATGATGCTATCCCTCGCCTCCATCATCAAGTCCAACTTTATCTACGCATTGCTGAGAGGTCTGTGTGTAAGCAATCTAATTAAAATAAGATTAAAATTTTGTATCTTTTGTTTTCTGATATTTTGAGTACGGAGAAACAATTGGATATTTTTAGTCTCCATTGTAATCTAACAGGTTTTCGATTAAAAAAATCAGAAAAAAAATACTTAATTGTAATCCGATATTAATTAGATTGGTGTGTCAGAGATTATCCACATGATAATTTCAAATATGAAATTTTTCATTTTGAAATGAAATGCTGTGGATCTATGCGTTCACAAGAAGTAAAAGCAAATGTTGAAAGAAACAATGTTTACAAGTGTACTTCATCATAATGTCAAGCTATATTACAACCTTCATCATATACCTTGACTGCAATAACCACCACTCTAGTATCATGGAATACAGAGATTTGTAATTTGTAAATACATCCAATTAGAGCCCACGACCGAAAGACTTTTTGTTGAATGTCTCTGATTGATAGTATTCTCTGGCTTACAATCCAATCAAATCGTTGTATTCCATGATACAAGTTGACTGAAAAAAAAAAAAAAAAATGAACCTGTTGTATATTAAGAGATGGTTTAGATACTGGTGTCTGTGTAACAATGGTAGTTCTCTCTTTAATAACTGAAGTATGTAGTCCCGGTCCTAAATATCCATATTCCTTCGTATAATCTTCCACCGTCTCACTTACACTATGGACAGTTTTTAACACAGAAGGCAAATATTTTGTTAATAATTTCTTGATGTGATCTGAGGCTATTTTATCCACATTATTAATAATGGGTCCTTCAATAGCAGTTTTTAGTCTCTCACCCAGCAGTTTTAAATTGGGTAACAGAAATGTTTTGATTACTTCGGCACCTAATTCTCCCATTCCTGCCACAGCTCCATATTGTGTTGCTAATGCCGATCTCTCGTCTTGTAAAGCTTGTGTATACATCTTAGTTGTTCTTGCCTGAATATTGTTTGTATTTGTACTATAATTTTTGCTAATTTGAGCCATTAATCTTGCTGCAAAGTCACGCAAGGCCCAGTGGTTATCTACATCAGGTCTAAGACACAACTGTTTACTGACAATACATGTACAAACACCAGGTATCATTTCATGGAGATATTTCTCCAAAAATAAAGTTTGGTTATCCATTAATGATTTGACCATCCTCATCAGATAGATCAAAAGAGCCAAATTATGTTGCACCACGTTGATTTTAACCCCCTCCGATATAAATGAACTATATCTGGGTAGCATTTGATGTAAACCAGGATCAGTGGCTAAACTTTGTAAGGCTTCAGATCTTCTAGTTTCATCAGATCCTACACAGGCCTCAGTTATCTCCTTGTAATATAACTGTTGCTCCACTGACAGTTCATGTGTGGAAATGTCTTTTAGCTTTACCATATCAGCTCCCTTTAATTTAAGTCTTGTTGACTTGCCTTCACTGGAAGTTTTGGGTTTATTAACTTTATCAATTTGACTTTTAATTGAAGTGTCTAAACTTTGTAATTTTTGTTGATCTTTAGTAGCAGGAGGAGGGTTTTCAGGTATGGCTGGCTGTTCACCATCGATGCATAGCCAATGAGCCTTCAAGGAAACATCAAGAGGTATTTTAGGTAATTGTGTATTGATGACTTCTTGTAAATCTAATTCTTTTTCTTCATTGAAATAAAGTTCACGTCCACCACCACTTGCAAATCTAAAAGGTATCAAATCTGGTGTATGAAAGCCATATAATGGCTCAATGTTATTTGATCTCAAGGCCATATCAAAGTCATTGGTTGTCAATTTTCTTCGTTTGCCATGTTGAAGAAACTTAATAGATTCCTGCACAAGCTGTTTCAGACGGTATGTACAATCTTCTGCTAAAAATCCAGCTGCTTGATCACCAACTCCATTGATTGCTACTGATTCTGCAATCGTTTTCATGGATTCACCAGACAAATTGCCCACCACTTTTCCTTCTTTCTCTGATGAATGTGACATTTTGCGGAAAAAGTTCGTGAGAGAGTAATGCGTTACTAAACCAAGATATACCAGCTTTTGCTGTAACTAAAAGATCATTACTGTTGATTAATTGTATTTTGTAATCATTGCCTCCATTTCCTTAATATCTCCAACTTAAACCGGAAGTTAGTTGCATTTTGGTTGTCGTTAATATTGATCAAATTCAAGAGAACTTTTCATAAAAATTTACAAAATATTTGTATTTTTCAAATTATAAATCCATAACTATAAGAAAGATAATTTATATTACCCAAAATATGGCAGGTCTACACGAAATTTAAGCGTAATTAGCTTAATGTCATGTCGTAAATATTAAACAGGTCAAAGGTCAAGGCACCTGTTTGCGGCAAAAACACAGGTTGGTCTCCGGTAAATACTCTATCAATTTTTTATTTTGATTAACTCATTCAAGAATGTTACTATAATGTCTGCTGCAAGAACAGCAATTAAACTCATGTCGCAACCTTTACCATTTGAAATTCTGTTGTAACTAAGAGTTCCTACTATAACTATGTCATATCCTAACTTGATTCCTGAATGGTTGTCATTTTTATCAACTCAACAAACTCAATAAAGAGAATCATAGACTAAACTAGTAGAATGAATTCCCCTCTTATCATTTTTCACACCAATCATTTCATGCCAGTGGTTTCTACCTCTCTTTAATCCTAGTAATTTCCACGACTGTTCCAATGGGTTTCCTCCCCCACTTAAACTGATAAAGTGCTTTGCTTTGAAAGGTGTTAATACTTTATCAGTTCAGTCACAGTGGCATTCCTACCTACAGAGGATGTGGTTGGGATATGAATTGAGGCTGGCTTGGCTTCAGCACCCCTCCCCCATCCTCCTTCTTATTACAGTACATTTTACTACATAAACAAATTTGTGACCCCTACTCGCCCCTCCATCTAAAGATTCATAGAAATGTCACTGTAATAATAGCTTATTTGTTATCTTTAGATAGTAGGAAGTTAATCTTTCTATCTCAGTTTTCTCATCTTGGCATACTTTATGCAAGTTTATTTCTATTTTTGTTATCACATCCTGATTGTTTACACCATTTTTTTCATAATTACAGATACAAACTGAAGTGTTGGTAATGGAATGTAGAATCAAGCAAAGATTGAACTTATAACATAGTCAAAATGTTGAATAAAGCTATTAAAGAATGGTTATCTGAATACAAGGTTTGTACAAGTGTCAAGTAAATGCTATAAAATTTTTGTGTTGAGATCCAGTACATTGTTCATCCAAATACATTCAATTTTTTTATAGATTGTAAACACTTTAGTTTAATAAATAGTTCATGTCAAATTTGAATGCAAGTGGATGAAATTGTTCTTAAGCTTTCAAGGATATACCCAATCAAAACTAATCGAAAAATATAAAGTATGTTTATTGTCTCTTAAATGTTTATGATTTATAGGTTACATTTCACTATTTTATCTTAGTTTTTCAACCAGATGACCTAATTTAAAGAAAGATTCCAGTGGGTGTATGTTATCTTGCCTGGCAAATTGAAATATCTTTCAGAGATTTGCATTATGTTTCTAAAACTAGCTGATAACTGTTTGAAATATCTTTCAGAGACAGAGTCAGGATGTTTCAAGATTAAGATTATTAATAATTATGATTAATTATTTTTTAGGGTCTGGCTGATGAAGAAATACATTCCTATGCTACTGTAGTACGTAATAATGAAGAATTGATATCTAGTCTATATAAATTATTTGAATCTAGACCATCAGTTGAAGTGAGTTTTTATACAAACAGTTTACAATGGATATTTAGCTGTGAACTGATCGAAATCATTTTTCTTTATTTTGCACGACTGTTTACTCCTGTAGTAAAACAAATAGAAAATCAAAATAACAATCTAGTGTCAACTATGCAATTTAATGACTTGTTTCGGGTTTGAGTAGCGATGGCTATGTGTCTATACTGCGTATGGGTAATTATAAGTGCTGGCCAAATAGTGAAAAAGAATGTCCACCTAATGTCATAGCTAAATATCCACAGTGATTAATTTATTATGTAAGACAGATACTGTTCATTTATCCATCTGTCCAATCCCTGGCTAGCCTGTGTCTTGTGATAGAGCTCTTGATTTCGATGAAACATAGGTATGTGTTTGTGTAAGCTTATTTAACAACTCTTTTTGTTGTTCTCAGCTAGACAGCTAGTGCAAGAGTGGGTTGGAGCAACTCCCATAAAAAGTGACATTTTATATCTGGCCCTAATGTGCTGATCTATATATATCACGTCCACAGAGGCTATGTCCAAGCAATTTCCATACATATAGTTTTTAAGTCACATGGGAATACATTATTTCACTCATATTATAGTACATTTTAAGCAAATAGCTTACACACTTTTCTTTGTATGAAAAAATGCTGGCACTCTACGACATTTGAAATCAATGGTGGGTTGTATGTAAATTTTATTGATTTCTGTTAACATTATAAAGAAGTATTTTACAGTTTGCCTTGAAGCCAAGTATAAATTATTTAATAATCTATAAAATGTAGTTATTTCCCTTGAGTTATTGAAGAGTAGAAATGAATTATCGTAGTTTTAATGAAATGATATAATTTTGTTAAAAACCAGTTTGACTTATAAGGAAAAATGACCTGGTACTTATTAAAGGAATATAGTTGCCTAATTATCAGTCTAGGGTTTTTTTTTATCCTTGAAATAACATGAAAGGATGTTTCTATGAAAGTCCTTGAAATCAGAGTTGTGGCTATGAAAGTCCTTGAAATCAAAGTTGTGGCTATGAAAGTCCTTGAAATCAAAGTTGTGGCTATGAAAGTCCTTGAAATCAAAGTTGTGGCTATGAAAGTCCTTGAAATCAAAGTTGTGACTATGAAAGTCCTTGAAATCAAAGTTGTGGCTATGAAAGTCCAAGAAATTTTTATACTACAACTTGTTTGAAATTTTGAAAAATTCTGAATAATTTTCTGAATTAATAGATTTCACATCATTTTCATCCATCATTTATTGGGTGCAAATAGAGGGCAGTCTAACTTATTTGGGGGACAACTTTATCTGGTGTTGAGTATCAAAATGTTGAGGTGCTAGATGCCAAACCCTACCATGGAGTCCCTGAGGTGCAATTTCAGAGAAAAGAATTTGGGTTTCACAAACTGTTTTTGTAGGGGGTCAAATGCCTCTTCACCCCTCCCCCCGTACCTCCACTGATTGCCATCAATTTTCTATAAATATACCATACATAAATACATATACATCTATAATGATTTGAGATTGAACTGTAAGAGCATTAGAACGGTTGCATGACAACAAAGTTTATTTGGCCAATCAGATGGTATGATAGGATGACATTAATTAGCCGACCGACTCAATCAGATTACTATTTTCTACATAACCAATATATTTATTGATAAAATGTCTGTTTCATTAGATGATTATTTTAGAGGTTAAATCAGCCATTCTAGGGAACACAGGGTGGTCCACACATTTTAATCAACTTACTTGTTCAACCTGAAGGTTACCTCAAGGAAAAGAGCTTACTTTCAATTTGATTAGTTTCAACATGTTCATAAAAGTTTTTACAATTTATATATGTTATATATAGAGACATATATTCAACTAAATAGGGCTGGATAAAATAATTGATTATCATTGAGATGATTTTTTAAATTTTGAATAATTGTTTATTAGATTGTATAATGGATTAATATTGATATTGACATGCTTTATAATTTAGAAGATTTCTCACTTAAAATATTTTGATTATTAATCGATTATTAATTGGTAGCATGCTGTCAATAATAGATCTGAATTTGGTAATCCATACCCAGCCCTACATTTAAATATTTACCAGCTGAGACTTTGATTTTTGCTGTGTTTCTGTAACTGTATTCTGTATTCAGATATCAAACATGGCTAAGATTTAATTATCGAAATTAATTTCAAACCTACATATTTCTGTCCTACCACAGACAGAATCATGTTTTGACATATATTTAAGTATAAAGTAAAATATCTTATTCAAAATAATACTGATAGTCTTAGATTGTGTTTGGATTGAGGAAAATGCCAACCAATAAAATATATATATATATGACAATATTATTTTTAATTTTTATTCCAAAAAGTGGGTAATTTTCACAAGAATTTCCTGGGAGGAAAGAATGTTTATTTCAAATTTAAAATCTCCAAACTCAATAAATTCAAACCATAACACACAACCAATTCACACATAAATGGGATGCAATTGATAATTTTATTTTGTATATTTGTAAAATGAGAGAAAAAGTTCAATTCTGAATGTAATGCCCTCATTATTTAGAAAATGGTGTTGTGTGATAACATATGATAAGTTATTTGTCCTTCTTTCTCAACTCTGCAAAATATTCATTATTTTTCCTCAAGGAAACTTTCATTTAACTTTTGGGCACGTTTAGTTTTGGCACCAGCCTCTCAAGACTAAGGGTACAGTAGGGGCTGAATAGCTTAATGGGGTCACAACTGTCGAAGTACAGCAGCTCTGTGGAAGTACATAAGAAAATTTTTGAAAAATCTAATTGAGGTGCATGCTTGCACATATTTTGGGGCAGAAACCTTTAAATCTCATATATTTAGATTTGTTAAGAATGAAGTGTGGGTACAAACCATTTTTCTAAAGTGGGGAAGTGCATTTGCCCCATTGGCACCACTAATTGCTGATAATGTCATTGCTGCTTTTAAGTTAGCCCTCATAGCCCTCGGTTTTGATCTGATTTGACAAAACTTGGAGAGATTTCAGTTTAATATCTGAAATTTCAAATGAATGGCTTTTTAAGTCATTGCCCTTGCAGAAAAAATCTGAGTACACTATATAAATCCTCGTAGCGATTTATACCTAAGTGTACACAGGTTTTTTCTGTTTATACATCGATAAAACTAAAATATATATTACTAGTGGATCTTTTTATATAATAATAATATATAAATATATATATAATATAATCATATTGGATGATTTCAACTTCAAATTTGTGATATGTTGCCCATTTCATAGCATCTTTAGTAAGGTAAACTTAGGTTGCCATGAAATTTGCTGGAGCTTTTTGGCTATCTATCTATTTTTATCTAGCCCCCAATTAGTTTGTGGCCCATTTTTCAGTACTTATTTTTATTTATTGATTTTATTTTCAGTACTTAGATCCAGTTTGTCACCAACTTTATGAATTTTATCGTTCCAAAGAATCAGAATTACATCATTTTTCCTTGGAATTCATGCCAACTTTGATATGGTTATATCTGATGACCTTAAGTGTCAATGATAAAAAGGTATGTGCCCAGATTTTTTTTTTGCGTAATGAACATGTATCTTAACTTTTAATTTTTATAGAAAGAAATGAGATGATAAAGTTGTAGAATAGAAGGTCATTGATATTTTATTATAAAATTGAATGTGTTTTTTAACTGGCAACTAAATAATTAATGAATCTAGTTATGATCTGTATTGTTTTTATGTTTTAACCTTTTAACCGTTTCTTGATGCTATGGTTAAAGCATCTTTACAATGCAAACTGTTATAAAAGTCATGCTAGAGAATACAACAGAAAGTCTGTGAACAGAAAGCCATAATGATAGCCTTCATGTTGAGGGATATGATTGGCTGTATTTGCTGGTGTATAGTCCAATCAAATCATTGCATACATGATACAAGAATAGTGGCCATTGCAGTCAAGGTATAAGTTCGAAGTTCATAATAGCTTGGACATTGTGAAGATGTGGTTAAAGTTGCGTGCAGTGGTCTGAACCCAATGTTTCAGCGTTAAACCTCAAGTTCCATGTAATTATGTCTGGATGAACAAGGCACCCTGTGGTCTGCTGTACTAAAATGACTAAGTTTATGAGACAAGTCTATTAAAGCCAGCGGAAGTTGGATTGCTTCGTTCCAGTCATAAATTGTGTTCATCTGCGATAGTGGAAATAAATTAGTTTCTAGCATGTCAATATGTCGTTACCCATTTCAAATGACAATCATTTTCAAATAACAAAATGTTCCAATGATTTCTAATATTGTGTGTAATGTTATTCGGCTAATGTAAGGGAAGGAATTACTTTGAAATAAATAATGGGTCGATGTAGAAATTCTTGAATGTTGCCAGATGTAACTAGTAGCATGTGTAAATTGATTAAATTTTCAACCCACGATGTATGGTTTAAGATTGATTTCAGAACATTCAATAAGTTTTAATCAAACGCCAGTATGAAATTTGCCTTTTTTCACCAAAAGAGACAACTTTCGATTTTCCGTGCCCTGTCATAGTAAAAACAATATGTTTTAATTTTATTTCTTCGTTTATTAGATCATAATAGGAACTAGAACCCAAAACTGATGTAAAATCAGGGTTGTAGAGTTCAATATCTAGGTGATATCGGGTTGTGGAGTTCAATATCTTGATGATATCAGGGTTGTGGAGTTCAATATCTTGGTAATTTCAGGGTTGTGGAGTTCAATATCTTGGTGATATCAGGGTTGTAGAGTTCAATATCTTGGTGATATCAGGGTTGTAGAGTTCAATGTCTAGGTGATATCTGGGTTGTAGAGTTCAATATCTAGGTAATATCAGGGTTGTGGAGTTCAATATCTTGGTGATATCAGGGTTGTGGAGTTCAATATCTAGGTGATATCAGGGTTGTAGTGATATCAGGGTTGTAGAGTTCAATATCTTGGTAATATTAGGGTTGTGGAGGTCAATATCTGGGTGATATCAGGGTTGTAGAGTTCAATATCTTGGTGATATCAGGGTTGTAGAGTTCAATATCTAGGTGATATCAGGGTTGTAGTGATATCAGGGTTGTAGAGTTCAATATCTCGGTGATATCAGGGTTGTAGAGTTCAATATCTAGGTGATATCAGGGTTGTAGTGACATCAGGGTTGTAGAGTTCAATATCTAGGTGATATCATGGTTGTAGTGATATCAGGGATGTAGAGTTCAATATCTAGGTGATATCAGGGTTGTGGAGTTCAATATCTAGGTGATATCATTGTTGTAAAGATCAATATCTTGGTGATATCAGGGTTGTAGAGTCCAAACATGGTGATTTTAGGGTTTTTAGAGTTTAATTCCTTCCTTCTAATAGGATTTTGGTTTGTTGACTTCCTAAACCTGGTTGAATTTTGGATTTTATTAGAGTATGTATCCCAATTAAATTTAGAGGGGTTAAGAGTTTAATCATTGGTGTATTTTGGATTTTTAAGAATTGATTTTTTAGGATTTAATGTTGTAGATAGATAATAATTTATTGATATGATAAGAAGAGGAAATTGATTTTTATAATCAGATTATATGTCTCTAGTAGGATTTCATACTTCAAAATTAATTAACTAGGATTCTTGTTAAGTAGGTTACCTTGTGAGAGTTGGGGCTGTTTAAGTCAAGTTTTCACAAGACCTTGAAGCTTTTTTGTTTTTGTTGCAGTGAGATAGTGCTGCTAACCTAGTCTAAGAGTTCTTGTTATTCTTATTTAGAGATACTGGTTCTGTTGCCCAGTCGATTAGAACATTGGTTCTTTACATCATGAGATCATTTGCTTGGTGGATTTGTAGTCTGTTTGAAAGTCTGATGACCTTGGATATGTCATCTTCACTTATAATTCCAAATGACCTAGCTATAAATGATCTGTATTATTATCTTTGTGAAATATAATTGTTTTTTTTTTCCTTTTCCTTTTGCTATGAAATGTGGATTAAAATCAAGAGACTCTTACTCATCTTAAAGAAGTTATCTTAAGGCGGCTGCACACAGAGATAAAATGGTGCAGCATTACTTAAGCTTGATGGGAAGCGCATTGTGTGTAAGCGATTTTTAGTGTGCATTTAGTCTATCTATCTATCGTGATTGATATTTCTGGCCACTCGTTGCCAGTAGATCAACATCTTAAGGCTTCCATGCGCTACTTTCTCATAGCTAGAACTGAGGGGAGTAGCTAAGTAGTCTGTCATTTTGACTGGCCATATGAGATAAGAGCTGAGTGAAAAGTGTACTGAAGTGATGGGGTGAGCAAGTAGTGCCTTCTATGCCAAATTTTCTCTGGGTGCAGGAGCCTTAAGCTGTGACTGAATTTTATGTGTAATATGTTTATGTCAAGTCGGTGCTTTCTCTAGAAATACAATGCCATTCAAATTGTTTCCCTCTTTGAGAGTCCACATTTTTTAAATTGTAATAATTCTAATAAATGTAAATATCATCCAATTTTCAAAAAATCTTACAATTAAACTTATTATAATATTAACATATAATTGTTTACCCTTAGAATAAATAAACAGGGTTAGCCACAGTAATACTCTTTCAAATTGAATAAAATAAAAAACTAGAGCCACTCGTGGCACAGAGTGGGACTTTGCAAATGTTGCAAAATGCAAAAGACCCTGAAAAAATCAACCTTCGACGATAATTAGATCAAGCGCAAGAACAGTGTAAAGTTGATAAATTTTCATTTTTTAGAAGATTCTAAAACCGGAAGTGGACGTCAGACCTCACAAATGAAAGTATCAGCAGATAGCCAAGGTCAATGACCTTTGATCCTGTAAAGGAGAAGGTCTAAAAAGGTCAAGATCAAGAGATATACGCCATTAAAATTTCAAATTGCACACGACTATAAAACCGGAAGTTGACATAGGACAGCAAATATAAAAGTATAAATAGATAGCCAATGCCAATGACGTTTGATCCTACAAAGGTCAAGGTCAACAAAGGTCAAGGTCAAAAATTGAAAATTTTGAATTTCCAAAACCTGTTCCTTTTTTTGAACTATGAAGCGGAAACAACCAAAATTCTAAGACTAAGTGGCTCAAAATATGAGGTAATTGTGTAAAAAGTTCCATTTTGAACAAATGTATACTTTGCGAGTTATGCCCCTGGCCAAAAATGTCAATAATGAGTAATTTAACCCGGAAGTGCCACGCCCAACTCAATTCCAAATGTTATGTTGTGTTTTAAATTTCAAGCTTCTACATTATTCAGGTCAAAAGATATAGGTCAACAAATGTCAATAAAGGTCAAAATCGAAAAATGAAAATATCCAAATGTTAAAACCCGTTCCTTTTTTGGAACTATAAAGCTGTTAACACAAACTGGTCAAAAGGATGAGGTAATTGTGTGCAAAGTCTCTTTTTGAACAAACGTACACGAGAAGCACATTAGGAAACCGAAAAAATTAACCCTCTAGGTTAATTAGGTCACGTGTTAGAGCAGTCCAAAGTTGCGAATTTGGCTTTTTACGGATAGCTATAAAACCGGAAGTAGATGTCTGGGGTCAAAGGTCAAAGTATCAAATGATAGCCAAGGTCAATGACCTTTGACTCTATAAAGGTCAAGGTCATCAAAGGTCAAGGTCACGGGATACAAGCCTTCAAAAATTGAAAAAATTCGACTGGAAGTTGCAAAAAAGCAAAAGTCAAATTCAAAAATCCATTTCCAACATTTTTGTCGCCATCGACTAAAGTATACACCAACATAAAAATTTGACCAATCCCATTCTCCCCGAAGCCCCATTTTGAGTTTTATGAAAAAGTATCAAATCAAGATGGCGGCCGAAGTATTTTTTTTTGACTGAATTTTATTTTAAAATCGGCCATAGAATTAAGATTAATAACGATACACATAATTTCGTTGAAATATTTCAATCACACCGGAAGTTATTCAACCTTAAGTGAAAATCGATTTTCTACTTTAACCGGAAGTGACGCAAAAATTTTGAATACGTCAATTGGTTTACATTAGTGACATGCATCTTTTATCAAAATTTCAGATTAATCCGAAAAAAACTGAAAAATGGTCCAAAAATTTCGAAAATCGGCCAAAAAATGTCTGCGACAAATTTTCGAATTTTGAAATTTTGAAACTGCTATTCTTTCAGATTTTAACAGTAGATTCCAAAAATGCAAACCCAAAGAAAATCGACCGAAAAATACGACTTCTAGAGCCGATTATCTATTCTTGCACATATTGAACTGTGGCACTTCCGGTTTTGCAAAAAAGATCCAAAATATATTTATGCACATCGTCGCCTATATCTAAGGTTCGTGAATGTTGAAAGGTTGCTGCAACTATTGTAGTCTAAGCTCAGGAAGGTGTGTAAATTTCGAAAAAAAAAAAAAAAAAGAAAAAAAAAGAATTGACATTTCGATAACAAACTGGGACTTTGCTTTCAGCAAATTAAAGTTAAACAATTAAATTTCTTTTTCAAATATTAACTTTATTTTTAATAAAGAAGATGCAAGTATCAGACCACATATTTGTAAGGTATTTTAAGGGTCAGTGAAACATCTTAG